AACTAGTAATTTTAGAATATTTATACGACTTCTTTCTTGAATTTTCTTTCATTCAACTGTCCTTCATTTCCTTTAAACATTTAAGATTTTCATTTTTATGCTAAATAACATATTAAAAATGTGTTAATTTATTAACGTCAGAGGGTAACTGAAGGATCCTGATTAGTACCACTTGAGGCGCCTTTTTTTGTCATTCTGTCATTCTTTTTTCGTAGCCGGGAATCTATTTGTATTATGTTTTGCTATTTTGTTGATTTTATTGTTTTAATTTTATAAGAATATTCTGGATGTCTGGATTTAGGTAGTCAGCACTGAAAGAGAGTCGGAATGGATTGTTAAGTTGGCACGTGAAGAATGAATAATGGTGTCAATGGTTTTCAGAGTTGAAACTAGAACAAAGGTTATCCAGGCGGAAATGATATACTCGTGATCCACAGACATCCACAGATCCCGTACTGTTATCATTCCTCTGGATCGATCAGTGAAGAAGTCTCCTACAGATATACATGCCAGAACTTTAAAAATTTCACTTTAAACTATATGAAATAGGTTCTATCCTTACAGAGGAAAGTGAGAGACGAAGACGAGGAAAAGGGCCCAGTACAAATATGAAGTTTTTGCCCTTGAGGAACTTCAATATTGCAGACTATATATGTATGTGAAGGAAGGAAAAACGTGAGAGAGGCCAGTTATGAAATTGAAAAAAATATAAGTGATAAGATTTGAAAGGTGATGTTTTAATCGGAATAACCATCCTCAGGTAAGAATTTTGATTTGTGGTTGACGAGTTTTAGTGTTTTTCCGCATGCGGATCCGTATTTAATTTTAGAATGGATAAAATTTATGTAAAGCTCCAACAAACTACTCATCTCTTCTCTCCAGCTGGGGTAAGTCAATGGGTAAAAGATTACTGATGCTATACTAGATTGCTTTATAGTTTTTCGAATCCAGTGCAGATGCTTATCAAAGGTAAAACCAAAGAGAACAGAGTCTGTGTGTCATGTATAACAGTGTACATTTCTAAATTAGGAAGAACAGAAGGTTAGTGGTGACAGTATTGCGTTATAGTTTACTCGATGTTTTACACGCTTTTGGCAAAGTCTGGCTTGAAATTGTTATCACTAAGCTAAGAGAGATGTAGATATGATCACTTTCTACTTAACAGATAACATTTTTATAGTCAAACAACTAAGACAAATAATTTTAGCAGTGCCACAAGGGAACGAACTAGGCCTTACCTGTTCAGTGATTTTATTTCAATGATTTGATGGAAGACGAAAAAATTTTAACGTCTACAGATTGCAATGGTGATCACAAAAACATCAACCGTTTTTCAAAATTAATTAAAAGGCGTGTAACAAAATAACTTTTATAAGATATTAAGCCTTTCGTCCTAAGGTAAAACATAAAAATATGCCAAACTTGACTAGAAAACCGGAAGTATCAAGGATTTAATGACCATTGTTTGTAAAAGTTTTCATCAGTCACCAAACAATGCGGTTACAAAAAATATCAACGAAAAAATGCACATAAAAATTTCAAATAAAGCAAACAACTATTATTCCAGACGACAGAAAAAAACTGTAAGAAATTAATTATAAATTAGTGATTAAAGATAAAAGATAAAAAATTAGAATAATCCCTTAAGGTAATACCAAATTAAGGTATTATTCTAATTTTTATCTTTTATCTTTAATCACTAATTTATAATTAATTTCTATTACCTTAAGGTAATACCAAATTAAGGTATTATTCTAATTTTTATCTTTTATCTTTAATCACTAATTTATAATTAATTTCTTACAGTATTTACCATTACAATATTTACTTGTGTTATAATTCCCGCTTTTCGCACGTTCAAATTGAGCACCAATAAAAGCCATTGTTTGTTAAGCTTTTCTTCAGTCAACAAACAATGTGATAAGAAAATCGAAGAAAAAATGCACATGAAAATTTCAATAAATACGAAAAACTATATTCTAGACGACAGAAATTGTGATACGTATAATTTTCTATCAATAAGATGGTTTTGTAGTTTACTCGATGTTTTACAGGCTTTTGGCATGGTCTAGCATAAAATTGTTATCAGTAAACTAAGACGGATGTAGATATGATTACTTCCTAGTTAACAGATAGATATTTTTAGAACAAAAAAAATTAATATTCAAAACTAAGAAAAATAATTTCAGGAGTGCCCCAAGGGAGCATATTAGGCTCAATACTTGACTTGCTAAGTACCAGTGATTTTATTTCAATGATTTGATGGAAGTCGAAAAAATTTTAACGTTTACAGATGATACAATGGTGATCAGAAGAACATGAACCATTTTTCAAAAATTATTCAAAAGTCGTGTAACAAAATAAATAAATGTAAAAGCAATGGAGAATCGGGCTCAATGAGCTTACTTCTGAACATATAAATTTTTCATATAACAAATTGAACCATATTCCGTTTCTAACCATTGATGGAAATAAGTGATACAGCTAAATAAGCTTATATTATATACCAAGAACAATGCAACTAGAAAGGAATAAATAGATGTGTTACAATTTAAACAATTGATTTTGTAAATTACGTCGGAGTTATTTGTTACTGGTGTGGGATCTTTAATCGAGGAAAAAATACCACACATAAACTATTAAGCACAATAAATTAAATAGAATTATAAAACCCTCCGGCAACAAGCCGTAGATACAGCCGGTAAAAATAAAGTAAGAACAGTGGAGGTATTTATAATAAAAGTAATGGTTTATCAGTGAGCAGTTTTAGGTTAACAAATTTGGGACTCTTTTGATGAAAAAACATAGCCACCGTTTTTGCCTCAAAGGCCTTGAAACCGTAATTTAAGAGCAAATTACTTATTGAGGATAAATTAGATTAAATTTGTTGATCAAACAGGTTATATTTTCGTGGTGATCATCATATAATCTGCATATATCATCATATAAGCAGAACTTGTACAGAGTGGAGAACTTTTAAGTGATGATTATGATCGTTTGCTTTAATTTAATATCTTCTTTTATTTTAAGTATCTACAGTTGAACATTATTGATTAATCACTATTAGTAGTCCATTATATTTAGTGGTCTAGTTACCAAATTACTTCTTTCAATTAATTAATCTTTTTATGTAAGGTTTTGGTTAAATGAAAAAGCTAGTGTAATATGGGAGGGGACAAGCTTCGAAAAGCAGAAAATTACATATGGAAGAATATATATAATAATACCTATATACATATATGGTCGTTGATAAACTTATTTTTAATAGTCATAAAAGTATAATTATCTAATAAAGTTTCTTTTATATATTCTCAGATCTTAAAAGTTAAAATTGCAAAGGAAGAACATAATACACACTCACGTGCGCCTGCATGCGCGTACACGTATCAACAGTGGGTTTTCATGTTTTTTTGTATATAAAAAAATTAAAATTGAGTGATCTCAGTCACGAAAGTCGTGCTATTTTAAAACATTTTCAAGAAGGTTTTAAAGCCGTTGATGCTGCACGTGAGATAGAGAAGTGGGTGAAGATGTCATGTCGAACTTTTTCAAAACATAAAAAATTCCAAAACAGGGATAATCTTAAAAAGTGATTAGCCCGTACACGATGTCTTCACAGGGGGACTTCATAATTAATTTGTCAAAGTGTGTTTCTACACTTAAAGTGTAATAAAAAATACTGATGTATTTAAATTTTTAAAAATAAAACTCAGTTTTTTCATTAAAAAAGTATATATTTTGAATCTTTGGTCTTATAAAAATTGGACTACGCCTATGAAAACTTGGTTGAATTTTCATTAAGAAAAAAAACACTATCGGGTTTTTGTTTCATCTTGTTGTTCAAAAATTGGAAAATTTTCAATTTCATTGTAGAAATTGCTTTGTTATGATAGAATTGTGCAAATTCCAAAAAAACTTTACTGATTAAAACGCTCCCCGACGATTTACTCAAGTTTGCGAAATAATTATTTATGTCGTTTTAAAATTTGTCTCCATTAAACTAGTTTCAAAGGAAAAATGAAGAAATACGAGTAACAAAATTCGTAGTTGAAATGGAAATTTTGCTCAATTTTGCCATTTTAAATTTTCTAAATATTTTCATTATTTCTGTTTGCAAATAAATTAAAGGCCAAGTTGTCTACTCCCCCATACCTTTACCTATTTCTTGGAACCTAGATCGAGTGGTTTTCGCCTTGTTTTCACAGACTGGTCTAAGAACGCTGAGGGTGTGAATTGCGAGGGTGAGTCCACTTTATCGTCCCTCTTTTTAATTTTTAGGGTGTAGAAATACGTAGAAAATCACGAGAAGTTTGATAAATCGATTTTTGTTTGTTTTCAGACTGCTGAACTCAACCACGAGGTTTCAGGTTTTTCTTGAATAGCAGGAGCATTCCATGAGTTGAAATGTAAAAATCTTCAGGAAAATGAACCAATTTTTTTTTTCAATTGATAAAAAGGTCACTATAAAGTATCAAATAATATACTTTAAACAGTTTTGCCTGTGCAACGCTGTTCCTGTGGCAAAAATAAAACCGAAAATTTTGGTTTTATTTCGCATGAAGGGTTTACATTGACTTCCTTATCTGGGATAAAAGTGAATCTTACATTTACTAGTATAAGTAATTTATTGTTTGCCCTATCGGTCTTATAGGAAGTATTATTTTTAACAGAGTAATCTTACGAAAATGGTTTATATAATGAGTCATCAGGGACGAGAACCGCGGAATGTCCTGGAGGAGGGACGTACCCCCGTTCATAGTTTATTATTATAATAATGTTGTGAAAGTATGGTTATTGTTACGAAGTGGCCCCTTTGACATAATTTGGGCGTAAATCGTTGAAAATATTGCCTCGGGTCTAGTTAATTATCGTCAGGGAATGATCCGTGACGTGAATCCCGTCTGGTCGTGAACCGCGCCCGACTGTCCACGCCGGCGTGGTTATGTCGATCGGCGATTTATAACAATTGGCTGAAATGTTGCATTATGTTGACCACCGACCTTTTGCAACGGCCACTGCCAGGACTAGGAGTACGAAAGGCGCGCTGGATTCCATTTTCTTTCAGTGGCCTCCTTCGGGATGGTCATTTGTCTCTTTTACTCGACACCCTGTAAGCATACGAAAGTGAATATTAAATACAAAAATTGAAAACAGGTATGTTTTAAAATACAATCTGCATTTATATTTTCAACCATTAAATCATTGGTTCACTTGATCATAACAGCTTCTGGAAGTTTATTATCCTGGTCCTTCTTTTCTCACCATACATCTTTGGTCAGATTCACCATCTCATGTCTGTTAATTAATTATTCTTTTTATGTAAGGTCTTGGTTGAGATAAAAAAGTCAGTGTCACGAGCGAAAATGGCAAAAAGAGGGAAAATTCGAACGTAGGTTGAGATGGAGAGTTGGTGTCCGAGAGGATCGAAGTCACGATAGCTCAAGTGGTTAGAGCAGCAGCGTATTTAGCCGAAGGGCCGTGAGTTCAAATCCCGCTCGTGGCACTGACGTTTTTATCTCAACCAAGACCTTACATAAAACGAATAATTAATTGAAAGAAGCAACTTGGCCAATTGACCACTACAACTTAAATGGGTCGGTTTACAGTGTTTGAAAATAATTAGTTAGATGGCTAACCTATGAATATCTACCCATCTTTGCGGTCGGAGCCATAGCACTATAAATATATTTTAGAAAAAGACAAGGTCTCTCCCCAAAGATCGTAACAATACTTGCATACATATTTATTTATTATAACAGGCTGTGATAACATAGAATCATCAATGTACTAGAAATTAAGATCTTGTTTTAAAAATTGTGGAAAATGATTGTTATCAGTAGGTGATAGTGTGGGGAACCTCCCACCTGATAACGTGATAAACACAATTTTTCTAGTCAAACGCCAGTGATATTTATGTACCTAAAGAATATTAATTGTTAAGTAACTGTTACTGTTTTAAAAAAATGCATATATATGTAAAAGGCTATTAAGAAGAGGTTTTTATTTATTTATTATATATGTATATAGTTTGTATATATACATATCCTGAAATGTGTAATGTGTTTAAGTTATGACTTTGTATCTGTAAGTACAATTATTGCAATTTACAGTAATTTATAACTATTTAAATGGTTATGTCCCTATGTCTCTGTAGATCCCCTGAAGAAGGCAATAAAACTTGTCGAAAGCTTGGGCGTTGATATAAAAACATTGTTTGTTTGAAGACCACAACCCGAATCCCACTCAACATCGTACTATAAATATAAACTGATTTCTGGTTCACCTTAATAATAAGTGGACATGGACATTTTAATGCCTGATGACAGTGTAAGCAAGTTTTAAAATTTCTCCTTAAAACTGGTGGTTACCCCTTAAGACGAGTATAATGTGATAATGAGATCACCAGCCGTAAAAACTCATTATGAGTAATTATTCTTTTCATCTATGGTTTTTGCCTGAGATAAAAAATTAGTTCCACGGGGGGGATTCGAACCTGCGACCTTCAGCTCAATACGCCGCTACTGCAATGAACTCTGGCGAATTGAGCCGAAGGTTGCTCTAATTTTTTATCTCAATCAAAAACCATAGATGAAAAGAATAATTTATTTACAAAATCGGAACACAAAATCAAACTGGACAGAATTACCGGAATCGATAGGTATATAAAGCTCGAGGCCTTTTCAAAAGTAGTAATTTGAACATTAATGATTAATGAATTAATAGGAAGAGTGAGGTTGTTTTAGTTTGCACAATTTGTACATGTTCGATTTAATATATGGATAATGAGATCGGCCGTAAACAACTCATTATGAGTAATTATTCTTTTCATTTATGGTTTTTGGTTGAGATAAAAAATTAGTGAACGAGCGGGATTCGAACCCACGACCTTCGGCTCAATTCGCCGCTGCTCAAGCAGAGTTCGTTACAGTAGCGGCGTATTGAGCTGAAGGTCGCAGGTTCGAATCCCCCCCCCCGTGGAACTAATTTTTCATCTAAAAAAACCTTAGATAAAAAGAATAATTAATTGGAATAAATAATAAGGTCAAATATGACCACGAAGAAAGTATGGATTAATTTATTTATGAGTAATTTGTAGTGAGGCGCTGTTCGATCGAGATGGCAAGCTTACAAAGGGAACTGATCTAACCACAACTTTATAGAGGAGAAGTTTGTTTACTGGTGACAGCTAAGAGACCGTACACAATAAGGGAAACAAGACACAAATTGCAGAAGATACAACACCGGCCTGAGCTTAATTGAGAGGATAGCCTACGTTTTTGTCGGATTTAGTTTAACCTTCCATTAGCTACAGAACCTTCCAAAACATGACATGGCATTTGTGTAACAGTCTATTGACTATTGTAACCAATCTCCAGGACGAAGGGAAAATGGTAATGTCATCAGCGAACAAAGCCAGACTGCAATCTTAAGGCACTATATTAAAAAATATAAGAAAAAAAACGAGTCCTGTTATGGATCCCTGTGACACCAGCTGATGCGTCACTGCTTTGAGGCAGGGTTGAGTCGAGAGAGATTCGAAATTTCCTATTACGTAAATATGAGTAAATGATTTTAATCAGGTTTGGAGGAACGGCCTAGTCTATCATCTTACCACCCCTATGGGCCAAACGCGTTTTGAATATCCATCAAAACTGAGGCAGTGCTTACATTGATTAAACGCCCCAATTACATCATAAACAGCTCTAGCTAATTGGGAGGTAGTGGAGAATCGTGACCGGATCCCAAACTGGTCATATTGGATGATCGAGGACATCCAAATGACAGTTAACCTATTTCAAATTTTACTTAGGTGCTAAGCAGACTAATAGATCTGTTGCCTGTAAGTTTTAATGGGGACGTAACCAACCGTGAGACGTTTGTTGAACAAATGATTGAGGAATACAATTGCTTTTCGTATTAAATTTTGTAGCAGGATTTGGATATTGCCTAGGCCTGGTGATTCCACCTCTTGTCAGTTCTTCTCAGGGATGTGGTTTCAAGGTGTACATTGTTCAAAGATGGCTTTCCTAGGTTTTGTCCATTTTCTAGCTATTTCAGGACTGTTGCGTAGTATATACCCTCTTTCTTAAGACATAAACGACATTGGAGTTCTTTCAAGTGGTTTTTCCAGTTTTAAGTGGTATTTTATTGGTGCATGTTCCGTAAATATATTATAACATAGTTTAGTGCGTGTGTGTGTGTGTGTGTGTGTGTGTGTGTAGGAGCGCGCGCCTGTTTTTCCTTCACATGTGAAATCTCTGGTTTCTATATGGATTGCACTTTCGACCCAGTCTCATGTTTATTTAATTTTTTCATTATTTTGGCCTAGAGTTGATCAATATAAAATTCATGTAAATTATTGCCATCAGTGATTTTTTTCGAGATAAAAAGTAAACAAATAAGTAAAAATTGTGTGAAAAAAATGACTTGTTAATTGTAAACTATTTTGCTGTTTGCACGGTCAAATGCTCCACTGGTGTTTGATAATTGTTTATCCGTTATTGTGCTCTGCATCGGCGCACCGAGACGGCGGGTACAACGGTCCCTGGAACCGTCAGAACTCCAAAGAAGTCAAATTGTATTAAAAGCTTTCAAACAGATTATGAATCGGGAAGAAAGCGTGGAGATAGGCTAGGTGTCTGGGCCCTTCCATCATTCGGAAAGAAGGGTTAATTAAAATAATCGGCTTGTACTTTGACAAAAAAAATACAACTTTTACATTTTCTTTCTTGGTTCTTTCTCTCCTTAAAGACTCGTCAATCTCGGTTTTAAAACGCCGCAATCAAATATATCTGTAAATTATCTAGGCACGTGCCTTTCATACCGTAGTGACCATCGTTGGCGGTTGTTAACTTTTACCAACTAGAGACGTGTTCCTACATTTCGACGCTGTTTAGAAATCTTCCTGGGAATGTAAATAACGCTTAAAACACGTCAATTAAGAAGATAAATTATCCAAGAATATGGAATGTAAAGTACCATCAATTTTAGGAAAAAAACTCTTTGGTTGAATGTTCTTTCATGAAATCTTAAGTCTTTTGTCCTAAGGTAAAACATAATAACAAGCCCACCGTGACTAGAAAATCGGAACTATCCAGGATTTAATGTCCATTGTCTGTAAAGCTTTTCATCACTCAACAAACAATGCGATACAAAAAAATCAAAGAAAAACTGCACATAAAAATTTCAATAAAAATAAGCAACTATTATTTTATGCAATGTAATGAAAATAAACGATCGAAATTGTGACATGTATAATTTTCTATCTACAAAATGGTTTCATAGTTTACTCGATGAACAGGTTTTGGCAATGCCTGGCATAAAATTGTTATCAGTAAACTAAGAGGGATGTACATACTTCCTTCCTCACTTCCTAGTTTACAGATAGACATTTTTAGGGTCAAAAAATAGACATTTTTAGGGTCAAAAAAGATCAATATTCAAAACTAAGAAAAATAATTTTAGGAATGCCCCAAGGGAGAATACTAGGCCCTACACTTTACTTGCTAGTGATTTTATTTCAATGATTTGATGGATGTCGAAAAAATTATAACGTTTGCATATGATGCAATGCTGATCCCAAGAACATCAACCGTTTTTCAAAATCATTCAAAAGGCATGAAACAAAATTACTTTATAATATCTTAAGTCTTTTGTTCTATCGTAAAACACAAAAACATGCCAAACGTGACTAGAAAACCGGAAGTATCAAGGATTTAATGTCCATTTTTTGTAAAGGTTTTCATCAGTCACCAAACAATGCGGTTAAAAAATATCAAAGAAAAAATGCACATAAAAATTTCAAATAAAACATACTATTATTCCAGACGACAGAAAATGTGATATACTTTTTTAAATAAGATAGTTCCTACTCACAGTAAGTTGTTTTCCAATTATCCGGATTTAATTTGGTATTACCTTAAGGCATTATTCTAATTTTTTATCTTATATCTTTAATCACTAATTTATAATTAATTTTTTATATTATTTACTATTATAATAGTTGTTTGTGTTATAATTCCCGCTTTTCGCACGTTCAAATTGAGCGCCATTAAAAAACCAGCTTCTCATTGGAACGTCGCGTTGGCGGGGGTATCGGCGGGTCCAC